AATACATTGTGCTGGTTTGTATTCATTTTCATTTCATGAATTGCTTTAAAACTTAGCCACATAAAAAAGCATTAAAACACCTTTTAAGCATTATTTTTAGTTCCTCTGTATTTCCCTGCTGTGCTGTTATTCAGTTTAAATCAGTGGAATGTTGTGAGACACATGGCTGGGTTTGCAGCAGAGCAGATCTCTCCTCCTGCTTGTGTGTGCTTGGAGCATTCATCTGTAGACAAGCAGCAGATTTGAGTTTAACTCATTTTGCATCCTTGGAAAAGATGAGTATCTTAGAATGAAGTTCGATCAAAATAAAGGGTGTTTGACCGAAGGTTATGCAGCAAGCAATTCAAGCCCAAACTCAGCTGGTACCTATTAACTGTAAAAGTTCAGAGATAATGCCTGGTCTTACGGGACACACTTGTTTTCCTTTCCTAGAGTTATATTCTTCAGGATTGCCAGCAGGTCCTTCCCCACCTCTGGAGTTTTCTACAAGATTCTATTTCCCTCATAAATGTTTTTCCAAGTGCAGACTTGGCAAACTCAGGTGTACTTCTTGGAACTAATGTGGTCCTGGGAGCTTAAATTAGGACCAGGTTGAAGTGAATGTGTGTGAAGCAAATATGGGAGTGGTATTGAAGGGGTGTGTGTAAGCCTGAGCTGAACCACAGTGGGGGTTAAGAATTGCCTAGAGGAGGATTGTGGAGCAACAATGGTCACTGTTCTGTCCCCGTGTTGAGAAGGAGACACTAAGGAGAGTCACACTGAGTTCCTTGATGCTGCTCAAGGAGTGAGGACAGTGGATATTTAATTATTTACCTACAGTCATGTTGTTTTGTTCTCTGACACATAGGGATATTAGTTTTCTGTGGACTTCCTATGAAGATAAACAGGTAGAAAGTAGCAATGTTGACACACACAGGCAGTGGTAGCTTCTGTCTAGTTATCTGCTTGTTTGTGAATTTTGTGGGGCAGCCTGTGCATTCTGCAGCTTCAAATCACAGAAGAAATGTGATTGTGAGTTTACAAAGCTTACTTTCTGTTTCTTTATCTGTACCATTCTGCTTCAACTTATGTCTCTGATGGTTACCAGAAGTAGTGACTTATATCCCATGTTCTCCATAAAAATACTGAATGAAATGTTTTTATGGAAGTAACCACACACGTTTGAATTGCTCTTGAATTAAAAACAAAATCAAATCCAAACACAAGAGTTGCATAAGTTTGATTTGTAATTTGAAACATCTAAAAAAGGCCCCAGGAAGACCTGTGTGCACTGGGGCTGCTTACAGGTACAAGGTCCACACTTGAAATACAGTCAGCTGGTGCTCTATACAGGTGTCAGGTTTTGCCATGTGGCTTCAGTAACATGTGCTGTGGAAAATTCTACAGTTATTCAGCAGCACTGCAATGAAATAGATACACTGCTGTCATTCTCCTTTCACCCATTAGCAAGGGGTTGGACAAAACTGCAGGTGAATAGAAACCCCATTTCTATCTGCATACTTTTTTGCTGGACCACGTGCATTGCCATTGCTAATAAAGATAATGCCACCTATTTGAAGACATGGGTAGGCATATTTAAAACCCAAGATGAATTGAGCACATTTACTGTGTTAGAAGCAGTTGCTAAATTGTAAGTAACTAAGTCTTGTTGTATAACTGCATTGCACTCAAGGGAACAATTTAGGTTTTGAATTGTGTATGTTGGTAAGTGAAAACTATGTAGACATTGATTATTTTTTTCCCCTTGACCTAATCACTGTTTGCCTATGGCAATATCTGATAGGTTATGTGTTCACCAAGAATTATCTTGGGACCACAATGAGGGATTATTTTTTTTTTTAGCTTCATTAGTAATCATAGTTACATTAGGAATAGAAGGCAGTGGAGTAATATACTTGTACTGTGAGCTACACCAGTTGTTGTATTTATTGTAAAGGTGGAAGTGAACTCTATATTGGGGGTCTGAATTTGTGTAGACAGAGGAGGAAACCAGATTTGGATCTTTGTGCATTTTCAGCAAGAATTTAAATTTTAAAGAATGGAAGGCAAATGCCCATTTAGATTATTTATTTAATTTTTGTTGTGAAAAGATCCTTTCTTTGTTTCTACTTACGTATTTGTAGTCTAGTGATGCTAAAATTTTTCTTGGTAATGCTAGAGAACATGAAAATAACGTTGAGCAAAATGAAATTTAGTAATGTGTTTTTCATTGTCTGACTAAGCAAGCTGCCAAAAGTACATGTCATCAATAGTGAGAGGAAAGTTTCCTCTTCTCCCTCACCCTTTGAATCTGATATGTATCACCCTTTGGATAAAAATTTTTAAGTCCAGCCAAGAACCTTAAGAAACATGTTTAACTTTTGACTTACTGTTGATCCCTTCGAAAGGTAATTTTGTTTGTGTGCTAAAATACTTGTTTGTAGTGTAAGGGATTGTGTGAGAATAGGTAAATGGTTGAAGTTTTAGCTTCTGCCTGGAGGTCATGTGGTTAGAGAGTTGGATGCTCTGCTTGTCAGTGAAGTGTTAGGAATTAAAAAATTCCCAGATGAGTAGTTGCATATTTGCATGCATAAGAGGTCAGACTGTGACCTACCTAAATACAGACTTGCAGTTGGGTATTTCTGAGAACTAATTCTAGCACGAAATGAAGAGATGTTCTGCCCTGGAGATAGGATGGGACAAGGTTGCTTTGGAAGAAGAGTTATCCAGAAATACAGTGATGCTCGTGATGTTTGTATCCACATGAGGGAGACAGTGTGACAGGCTCATTTGTCTTAATTGATGGCAAAACCTGCCAACCTGAAGCAGTGCTGGAGAAATTGGTGATTGCACTAGCTGTCCCCAATGTTACTAGTTCCTTCTGCTATTGACTCATATACCTATACAGGTTTTATTTTTCCCTCCTTAGATGTAGCTGAGATCGAGATTTCTAAATTGTAAACTAAACCATCCAACATGTTGCCTGAGCTTTTTCCTTAAACCAAACAAAGCCTTCGTGTGGTCATGGCTTTCTCTAGTCTTTGAACTTCTGCCCTAGTATGGAAAACTCTTCAGTCTGTAGAAAACACTGAGTCTTGACTGTGTGTCTTGTTTGTCAGCCTTTATGGAACTGTTGCTGAAGGTGGCCAACAGGAGCCAGGTAGCTATAAAAACCAGTCTCTTGGAACAGCTGACTTCAGTGTGGGACATGTTTCTTTGTTTGAAAATAATCATTCTTTATAGCTTATTTAGAGTCATACACTGCTAGGAAGTTCTGTAGTGGTAAGAGGCTTTTCTGAAAAACCATCCACCTTAGTTCAGGGCAGGTGCAAGAAGATCCAGAATCTTGCCTGGAGATTACCTGTAGGTCTCGTTAATCTGCAGAAGGTTTGGAACATGCAGCATTGTCCTGTGTTGTGTTTGCCAGCATTGTGCAGAATTGGTTAGCAGGCAGACTCACTGCCTTAGAAATGTGTTTGTTGTAATGAAATCATTTGCAGAAGCATCCCATATTTAACGGTTTATTGGTATTATTGTCCCCTCTTCAACCTTTCAGAGGCTCAGTTACAGTAAGCTGATAGGTTGATAAAGATCACTTCCGTGGGTTAGGTAAAACCATGGACAGTAAACTATCTCCTGATTTTTATTTGTTATAGTAGTGTTGAAATATTATTTTTCTGTTTTTGAAGTGGCTGGCTGGGTTGGTAGATGAGGGGAAACAAAACAATCTCTACGCTGTTTCTGGTGACTAAGATGAACAATCTGGTTTTGTAAATTTATACATTTTTACTTCAGTTTCTCAAGGTGAAACAACATAAATATTTAAACAACTTTATTATTTCAGAATTGTCTTGGGATCTCTTGCTTTGCTTAATCATGAAACAGATAAAGTGCCTTTTGTCCTGGTCTTTTACACAAATAATCATGCTGCTCCCTAATAAAACTAAACTTAAAATTCTTTGGATACAGCTGAAAACACTAACTTTTTCTGCTTGTTTGTTGTTTAAAGTAATTGGGACAATACTGCAGGACAACTCTTTGATATACTTTTATCAGATTTTTAACTGTTAATCTTGAGGGTTCCAAAAGTAACATCAAGCACATCTAAATGTGTGATAGAGAAGAAACAAACTGGTTTATCCCAAATACATGGTCTGGAGGTACTAATTTGTTGAGGGTATTATGGTCTCAATCCATAACTCTTAAGATATTTTTACTTTGTATTTTCACATTTGTTTGATATAATTCTATTGAGTGCACGTCTCAAGAATTTAATGTTTCTCTGTGCTTAGAAGAGATATTTAGTCACTGTCTCTTCCTTTCCCTTAACTGAGAGTTAAAAATAAACCTCTAAAACAATGGCAATCCTTCCCCTCCTTCAGTCTCCCTCTATTATTCATTCCGGGCCCAAATTCGTATACAGCATTGTAATAGCCTCATGTTATGAAACTGAAAATTTTTAAATGAAAATAATGATTTGTAATAAAAAGCTTGACAGACTAATTATAGTATTGCATTAATTATTATCTTATTTCAGCTCTGTTCCACAGCTAATTCAGGTCTGGATTTTGGTGGCTTTTTTAATCCCTATTGACGCTGTGATTTTGAGAATATGCTTAGGCATAATATGTAAAATCATGGAATAAAAATTGTCAGATAAACAGCTGGTTCTAAAATGTTGCCTTGGACGTGATAGTAACAGAATGTAAGAAGTTCTGTTTAAATGTGATGCTTTGTGGATCTTCTGGTGAGGGTAACACCTATATAATATAGAACACAACTCTTGAAATCTTTTCTGGATGTCTTTATAACATGTCCTAAATAGCAGTCATTAATTCAGAAATGTGTGCATTGTGCAGCTGAGTTGGTACATCATTTTATGTTTTGAGTTTTATTTTTTTCCTCCCAAAATGTGTGCAATTCTTATAATGGCTAAGGTATAGATAGATTGATGTCAGTGCTGTAGTAGAGTTCCAAGACTGTAATTTGAAGCTACTTTAGAAAAATACAATTCTTTAGACATGGTGAAGCTGAAGTTGAATGGAGGTCCTATTAGGAGTGAATTGCATGTAAATATTAATAAGGGAAGAGTTCCTAGCAAGTCCTGAGTTTGGGAAATTGAGCATGATAATTTGCTGAAATTATGTCTGTCTTGAAGATATGCAGATGCAATAATTTTCAGTTTTCATTTGAACTTTTAAATGGTGCAGAAGGTGCCTGGGGTAGGTTTTGAGCAAGAAAGTGTTTGGAAGTATTGGCAAATGTCGTTGTAATGGATGTATGGTAATGAAGGAAGTTAAGATGAAAGATGAATTGGACTGAATGGCTGTTAAGTCTTTTAGGCTGAGAGAGTTGCAGGTTTGGTCGTTAGATTTCCAATTACGTTGCCTTAGTTCCTGCACTTGGTTGGTTGTGTTCAGATGTTAGGAAAGTTGAGGGAAGCCGTTTCTGACAATTTGCTTTGTTTTCCCTTTTTCAGGATGCTTCATCTGCAGACGTTCGGAAAGCCTATCGAAAGCTTTCGCTGCTTTTACATCCAGACAAGAATAAAGATGAGAACGCAGAAACACAGTTTAGGCAAGTAAGTGCAACGTGTGGCAATAAAAGTTTTAGGGAAAATAGAATCAGAATTTTTTATCATAATGTCATTTTAGTAAGAACAATGGTACACCTTTGAAATGAATAAGTTAAACTTTGAATTACACTTTCTCCTGATGCAGCTAGACTAAAACCAAGTATGCTTTTTTGGAATTAACTTGTTGAATGACTTTAATTTAGTGCTTACCTGTATATTAAAAATAATTTGAACATAATACTCTTAGGAGGAAAATGTTTTGGGCTTTTAAAAGTAGTGGGGAAAATTTCTAATCAGTTCTCCACATAAGTCCTAAGCAGACATTGTTTAATGAACAGAATTCATTTTAGCTTTTTAATTTTCACCTTTTGAATCTTTGCAGAGTGAAACAACATGACTTTGTAGTTAGCTCTAACTTTAAAGATATACCTCTGATGACTAAAACCAGCCTGCTTAATTGCAGTAAGATCTTTAGGATGAAGCAAGTGATACCTTTTATTGTGAAGGTGTAGCTGAGACAAGACTCAGTTTGACAGATGTGAGGAAGGGAAAACAAGTCTTGTGTAGGAGTTACTTGTCTGTGTCTGATGACCCTTTGTTTATGAATATGTCACTTTTTTTACACACTGAGTTTGCTGCTTAGTGTTGTAGG